TCAAGCTATTTCCCAAAGCCCTCGAAGGCCAGACAAGGAATAATGGGTGGAAACTGATCAAGGAGAGATTCAACCTGGAAATAAGGAGAAATGTTCTGACAGTGAGAACAATCAACCCATGGAACAGAAGTTTCCTTTGGAAGTTGTGGGAGTTTCATCTCTAGAGGCTTTCAAGAAGAGACTGGACTGCCATCTGTCAGGAATGGTGTGGGGTCTCATGCTTGGGTGGTTGGGGGTTGGCCTAGCTGACCTCCAAGGTCCCTTCCAATTCTGTTATTCTATATTCAATGAAACGACTTGCCTTCAGAAATCGTGGGAGCTTCATCACTGGAGGCTTTCAAGAAGAGACTGGACTGCCATCTTGGAGGTGTGTGTTATTTTTTCTCACACCTTTACCCTTTTCTCTTTTTAACTTTGAACTTTCTTTTACATATGCTTTCATGTTTATCCTTATGCAAAAAAAAAACCCCTTCCACAAATTGATTTTTTTTTTAAAAAAAGGAAGGACAGCTTTGCAATGACTGATGGATGTTCTGCTGACATCAAACTGGCTTCTAAACACCCCCCCAACACACACACACACATACCCCAGAAGGACTAGCCACGGGTGTGGGTGAGAAGGAGCTATCTAACCTCAGAATTGCAAAAGTAAAACGGCAAGAGATGGTGGCTTTTATGCTGTGTGAAGAGAAATGGGTTGGAAGCATAATCTGTGATTAACAGTGAAATCTGCCCTTTAGTATTGAGTCATAATTTGTACAATTTCCCTCATCTCTGGTCCCTTCCCTCTACTCTGACCTATTGTATTTTCCACCGAGTCATAGTTTCCAAGCAAAGACGGAGGTTTTATTGAGGGAAGAGTGCTGGAGGGTAAATTGTGGTCTTCTTCTTTCAAGGAAGAACCTGGCCTGCGGACACAAGTTCCCTGTTAAGGTTATCTGAATGAGGAAGACTTCTCTCCTTTTGCAGACCTCTGGTGACAATTGGTGCAGAAGTTAAGAAAAGCCTCTGTTGGGCCATTAGTCTACAGGACTTGCAAACAATCTGGTTGCAGGTTGGAATATATAAAAGTAGAAGAACCATTTTCACCCCTTTCCAAGTTCATTTACTTGGAAGAAGCCTACTAGAGCTTAGCAGGATTATTTTTTCAAGTCTCCTGCTCGAGCAAAAGGTTGGACTAGAAGACCTCCAAACTCCCTTCCAATCCTGTGTTCTAAGGTTAAGGCAAAGGTTCCCCTCACACATATGTGCCAGTCGTTCCTGACTCTAGGGGGCGGTGCTCATCTCCTTTTCAAAGCCAAAGAGCCAGTGCTGTCCAAAGATGTCTCCGTGGTCATATGGACGGCATAACTAAATGCCAAAGGTGCACGGAACACTGTTAGCTTCCCACCAAAGATAGTTCCTATATTTCTACTTGCATTTTTACATGCTTTTGAACTGCTAGGTTGGCAGAAGCTGGACAAGTAACAGGAGCTCACTCTGTTAGGCGGCACTGGGGATTCGAACTGCCGAACTGCCGACCTTTCTGATTGACACGCTCAGGGTCTTAGCCACTGAGCTACTGCATCCCTATATTCTACACACACACAATTCTATGTTCTAGACAGCTTCAGGATGTAGGAGAAAGTACTGCCACCTGCATAGGAAGTCTGTTAAAGCAGGGGTCTCCAACCTTGGCAACTTTAAGACTTGTGGATTTCAACTCCCAGAATTCCTCAGCCAGATTTGCTTTTGTTTGTTTTGTAAAATTAGATACTGGGCTTGGAGATTTACTGGGTGTGCACAACATGCAAAGCAGGTGGCCATTGCATTTGCACAATCCATTAAATTTCTTTTTGTTTAAATGTCATGTCTTCCCCCTTTCGCTTCGTCTGTTGCAAAGATCCAGAACTTTGGGTGATGTACCGGGCAGGATATTTTCTAGCAACTGAGAATGTAGGTTAATGTGCTAAGCAGTATAAGCCGTAGCGTGAATATCACTGTTTTCATCAGCAACATACGTAAGATGTGATTACTCCAAAGGAAAGCAGTTCTATTTGGGAAAGAAATGGAGAAGGGGGAGAAAAAAAACCATCAGATATTAATTAAAGTAGGTGATTTGCTTTAAAAATTGAAGGAAGGATGGATGGATGGGAGGGAGGGAGAAAAGGAAGAGAGGGAGGGAGAAAAGAAAGAAGAGAGAAAGGAAAGCGAGAGGGAAGAAAGGAAGAAAGGAGGAACGAGAAAAGCGAAAGGAAAGAAGGGAGAAGGAAGGAAAGCGAGAGGGAAGGAAGGGGGAAGGAGGAAAGAGAGGAAGGAAGGGAGAAGGAAGGAGGAAAGCGAGAGAGGAAATGAGGAAAGGAAGGGAGAAGGAAGGAAGGAGAAAAGCTAGAGGAAGGAAGGGATGAATGTCATTTTCTCCTTGTTCCATCAGGGATTCCTCTGCATGGAATTAAACTACACCTGCACCCCACCCTTTATTTGCCTTCTAATAAGCTTTCCTTCTTTTCTTTTTAAAGTATTCTTCTTTTTTGCCCCACAAAATGATGGTGTTTCCCCCCCTTTACATTATGTGGTTGTACAGTGCCATATGTTGAACTGCAGGGAGGCCAGCTGCAGCTCCAAGAATTCGCATCCCCCCACTTCAGAAGCATGAAATGGTTATCCTGATCTTTCTTGTGCTGGGTCAGTGTTCCTCAAGCTCAGCAACTTTAAAACATGTGGACTCACAAAATAATAAAATATGTGGACTTTAATTCCCAAATGTTCTTCAAACAAAGATGATTAGGGGGGCTAAAACATACGAAGAACAGTTGCAGGAACTGGGTNTTTGTCTGCCCCCCCCTTTTTTAAGCTGTAAGCCGCCCTGAGTCCCCCCCAGGGAAAAGGGCGGCATATAAATAAACTTTAAATCTAAATCTAAAAAATCTGGTTGTTAGCATTCTTTCTGAGACTTGAAGGTTTATCTGT